CACTCCTCTGCTCAGAACCTTCCAGGGGCTCCGGATTCCTCTGCGAGTGACAGCCAATGTCCTCACAGAGGCTGGGCCTAGACAGGGCAGTGGTCTAGGGCTTGTGTGTGTCCCGGTCATGCCTGGAGCTGGTTAACAGCCAGGTGGCTGACCCCATGGCCAGAGTTTCCGACCCTGTAGGTTTGGGGCACAGGCAATCTGCACATTTCTAACAAGCTCCTTTGTGATGCTGACCTGCTGGTCCTCAAAACCCATCCGGGAAACCAGTCCTCAAGGCCTTACAAAGACAGTCTCCCCACAAGCTCCTAGGAGTCGCAGTGTCAGGCCGGCATTGTGGCACAGTCGCTTGTGATGCCAGCATCCCATATCAGGGTGCCAGCTCCAGTCCCAGCTGTTCTGCTTCCGATCCAGCCCCCTGCATGAGGGAGACCAGGATGGAGTTCCTGGCTCCTGGCTTCTGCCAGGCCCAGCCCCTGGCTGTTGCCGCCATTTGGGGAGTGAACCAGTGGATGAAGACTTTTCTGTCTCCCTCCATGTCCTTGCTCTGCCTTTCAAATAAGTAAATAAAAATTAAAAATTAAAAAGAAAAACTCCATGTTTGGATTTTACCCACAGACTCAGGGTTCAAGGTCTGGGGGTGGGTGGGGCACCCTCCAATGACGAGAACATGGCCTGGTGAGGACTCACAGCCCCCACAACCCAGCAGGCGGCCACCTCCCTGGCTGCAGCTCTTCACTCATTCTGCCCAGCCACCCGTAGCCCTGCCCACCGCCCACCCCCACCTCTCAGCTTCTGTACTTGACTGCTCTTACCCTGTCCCATCTGGGTCAGCGGCTCTCACAGGACCTGGCCCCAGGCTCAGCAAGGGCCGGGGCAGGACAGGCGGGAGGCAGCTCCAGTTCTCCCTCCGTGCAAGCAAGCTCCCCTCTCGAACTCCACAAACCCGTCCTGGGCTGCAGGCACACTGCTCCAGACCCTGGCGGCGGCGGGCGGGCGGGGCGCGGTACCACAGTGAACCCGAAAAAGTCCCTGCCCCTGGGTGGCTGGCATCTGGCAGCAGCTGGTCGCAGTCTGAGAATGCAACCAAGACATCCAGTGCTTTAGCAGAGACGGAGCTGTGGGGAAAAACTCAAGTTGGGGGCCATGGTGGCACAGAGAGTTAGGCCCCCACCAACGACACAAGCATTCCATAGCAGAGCACTTGTTTGAGTCCCGGAGGCTCCACTTCTCATCCAGCTCCTTGCTAGTGCACCTGGGAGGCAGCAGAAGATGGCCCAAGTACCCGGGCTCCTGCCACCCATGGGAGAGAACTGGGTGGAGTTCCAGGCTCCTGGCTTCAGCCTGGCCCAGCCCCAGCCATTGTAGCCACTTGAGGAGTGAACAAATAGATGGCAGGTCTGTCTCTCTGTGCCTCTCAAATAAATAAATCTTTAAAAAGAAAACTCATAGCTGGTGCTATGGCACAGTTGGTTATAGCCATGGCCTGCAGTGCCAGCATCCTGTATGGCCACTAGTTCGAGTCCTGGCTGCTCCACTTCTGATCCAGCTCCCTGCTAATGCACCTGGGAAAGCAAGGAGGATGGCCCAAGAGCTTGGGCCCCTGCACCCCACATGGGAGACCTGGATGAAGCTCTTGCTCCTGTCTTGAGCCTGGCCCAGCCTGGTCACTGCAGCCACTTGGGGAGTGAACCAGCAGATGGAAGATCTCTGTCTCTCCTTCTCTCTCTCTGTAACTCAGCCACTGAAATAAATAAGTAAATACAAAAAACAAACAAACAAACAAAAAAACAAAAAAACCTGCCGCCTGCAATACCAACATCCCATATGAAAAAAGAGAAGAAAACTCGAGTGAGCAGGGTGAGTATGGATGATGAAGACCTTGCTGGGGCATAGCACCTGCCACCACGGCTCAGTGGGGAGCCTCAGAGGGAGCCTTGGAGCTTTGGGGAACACAACCCCCCTGGAGAATCGTGTTTCAGGATTGCAGGCAAAACTACACTCAGTCATGCCTAGGATTTCAGGGTCTCCATAGAGACTCCATTGTCAAACGCTGAATGTCACAAGCCACTCAGAGAAGCCAGGGTCCTGGGATGCAGACCCCGCCCCCTGGCCCAGCTGCCGGGGATCCAGGTCCCAAAGCCACGGTGGCATCCCTCTGAGAGCCCCCTGGGCTGTCCCTCTGGCACCAGGCTCTTGTGCCTTTGCCATACAAGGCAAGCAGACACCCAGCGGCTCCTTCCCCCACAATACCCCATGGGGCACAGGGACGGAGACATCCTGGCTAAACAGACAGGCTGAGCCCCACCTCCACCACCTGCAGTCAGAGGGGCTGGCCTTGGCCTGAGCCCTGGCGGTCAGTGCGCCCCGGCTTGGCCTCTTCGTGTGTGGAGTAAGGGCTGGGGGTCCTGCTCGTGGAAAGTGAGATGGTGACCCCTCCCATAGAGTCTAGCAGAGACAGACGGGCAGGGGCCCCGGGCAGGCAGGTAGGCCTCCTGACTTCCGCATCTCCTCCGAGAAGGCTGCATCTCTAGAACCCAGATCCATTAGTCCCTAACAATGCCCAGGGGATCCGAGCTCTGGTCTCTCCCAGATGAGAACTCTGTGAGCACAGCGCCTCTTGCACCCGCAACAGCACGGAAGATGCTCATCTGAGCACCTCTGAGACACCATGGCCCAGCCAACAGGCACTTCAGGCCCTCAGAGGGCCCCACTCCCCACCAACACCAGCATCCAGAACCTATAGCTTCCCACGCTGACCCAAGCAGGAGCAGGGGGTGGGGCTGGGGGCGGGGCTGTGTGTTATGTTTTCAACTATGGTGTGGTTGTGTTGTCAGGAGTAGCTGTTGGTGACAGCCATCAGCAACGGCTTGCATAGTCTACACATGCATTACCCACTAAGAATGGTGCTGGGGCAATTCAAGAGCCCCGCGGATTGGCTCAAGTCAGCCATGGCCCTAGGGCAGGAGTGACCCTTAGCCCCACTTATGGAGGGTGACCCTGAGACTCAGAACAGTTAAGGGAGCTTTACAGGCCGTTTGGGAGGGTACCAGGATCCCAGGTCAGACGTGGCTGGCTCGGAGGCTCTATGCCCACCCCTAACTGTGTCAAGAGTCTTGAACTCCAAGGGGCACAAATAGGCACAAATATCAGAAACGAAGAACTGTCTGTTGTCTTGGGCACTCTCCACCTTGTAAGGAAATCCTTTTTTAGAAATCACAAAGGGGGCTGGCACTGTGGCACAGTTGGTTAATCCTCCCCCTGCGGTGCCAGCATCCCATATGGACGACGATTTGAGTCCCAGCTGTTCCACTTCCCTTCCAGCCTCTCTGCTAATGGCCTGTGAAAGCAGTGGAAGATGACCTAAGTCTTTGGGCCCCTGCACTTGTACGGGAGACCCAAAAGAAGCTCCTGGCTCAGCTCTGGCTGTTGCAGCCATTTGGGGAGTGAACCAGCGGATGGAAGACCTTTCTCTCTGTCTCTCCCTGTCTGTCTGTAACTCTAACTCTCAAATAAATAGATAAATAAAAGCTTTAAGAAAAATTACAAGGCAAACCCCAGGCTGCCCCACACCTGTGAGTTCGGCTCAGTTAGGAAGGTTTCTCAGCCCTGGCCAGTGCTCTGGACCCTGGTGGTCCCAGGAGGGCCCAGGAAAGCAAAGAAGAGCAACGGACAGGTCATGGCTGCCCTGGCACCAACAACCCGCTTCGCCCACTCTAGGCTCCAGACAGGGGAAGGATGAGCAGGGGTAGGAGGCAAAGGCCCTGCAGGAGGCGCAGGCCTTGGATCACAGCAGTGTGGAGCGCTGGTCCCTTCCCGCCCCACCCCAGTCCCAGGCACCTGTCATGGATTCCCCACTGCAGTCCAGTGGAGGCCCAGCTGGGGCAATTTTGCTCCCCCACGTGAAATGGAACGCTTGGGGTGACAGCCCCGGGAAGCACCATAAGCAAGGGTGCTCTCTCTGGGCCTCACAAACACACTTAGAAAAAAAGCTGTACAGGAACCCGGTGGGGCAGGTGGCCATGGACTTCAGGTGACAGCCGGCAGGAGTGCTAGAGGCAGAATGAGGGAGGGCTATCTTTCTGGCCCTGTACCCCTTCCCGCCCCCCGCAGCCCTGCACACGCTGGTGCCCGGGGTGCCGCTGGACTCTCCTTCTCCCCTCCCTAGGCCCTTGAGTTTCAGTCCCAAGAACTGAAGCCTGGCAAGATCAGCACAGTGCAGGCAGGCAGGATGCCCAAGCAACCTGAGAGAGGGCAGCAGAGGTGCCCAGAGTCAGGCCCCTTCTCCACAGTGCAGAGGCACAGGGGGGCACAGGAGGGAGGGGAAGTGACATCCCTGGCAGTCCAGGGCCCCTTCAGAAGCAAGTGTGCCACGGAGGGGCCCCTCCTCCTAACCTGCCCAGAAGCGGCAGGATGGGACCAACCGGCTGGGAAGCAGCGACAAGGGCACCGGCCAGGAGTCCCAGGAGCCCTTCCGGCTCTGGTTTAAGAGGTCGTCTGTGTGCTCAGTTAATATTTTATTCCATTGGAAATGTGGTGACCGAGGATTTGGTTACGGAGCCCACAGGCCAGAACCTTCTCTGCAGAGGGGAAGTAGATATGGGATGAGGGTCGAAGGGGGAGGCACCAGCACTCTGCATGGGCTCAAATCACTCCCAGCCACCGCGCACCCTGGGCTCAGGGTCCCTCCGATCATCGGTCATCATCACACTGCACCATCTCCTATGAGCCTGCGGCCCAAGCCCCCTGTACTCACCAGGGACTCCCGGGCCTATGATGGCCAGGGACGCCGCTCAAGGTGTTACCGAACACCTCGCTCCCAGCCACCCCGAGAGCCAGCTCCGTCCCCTCTACCCCCTAAGACCCCAGCTAAGAGCTCCAGAGCAGGGCAGTGCGGCGTGAGCCCCCGGGGCCGCACCTCGCCAGACCCCGCGGACCGGGTCGAGCTGCTCCCTCCCCGCAGATCGCCAGCCCTCGGCGGAGGGCAGGTGGCCCCGCATTACCTTCCATGGACATGGGCTCCAGGATACCGAACTGCTTGAGCACGGCGATGAACAGCAGCACGACCACGGCCATGGCACACAACTCCATGCCCTGGATGCCCATGGCTACCCGGCTGCCTGGGGCCGGGGCGCGCCCCTCGCCCGATCGCAGGCTGCCACGAGAGGCGGCGGGGCCGGTGGAGCCCGCCCGGCCTCTGGGGGAGGCGGTGGCTCACATGCCCCCGGCAGGCGGGGCTGCGGGTGCTGGCGGAGCCGGGACCCCGCGGTGGGCGGCGGCGGCGGCGGTGGCGGCGAGCAGGACAGTCACGGAGGCCGGACGCGGCTCGGGGGCCAAGCGCGGGCGCAACTTTCCGAGTCAGCCGGCAAACTTCGCCGTGCAGCAGTGGCGGCGGGGGGCGCAGCTCGGGCTGCCAGCGTGGGCCAGCGGCGCCTCCATGCCCTCGCGCCCGCGCCGCGCCTTTGTCACCCCTTCTGCCCCGAGGGCGCGGGGGCGCGGGGGCACGGCGGCGGCGGCGGCGGCGGCAGGGGTCCCAGGCGCTCCCGGCAGCCCCAGCCTCCATCGTGGTTGCCCGCGCGCTCATTGGCCTAGGCTCAGCGACCACTCGGGGAGGCGTCCCCTGCGCGCCCCCCTCCCCCGCGCCTGCCGGGGAAGGGGCGGAGGGAGCGGCCCCGCCCCGCACGGTCTGGCCCGGGACGGAGCCTGGCGCTCCGCCACCGCTCCCCACGCAGCCCCTGGGAGGCCGCGCGCTCGGTGGTGTTGCCGAACTGCCCTGGCACGGTAGGGACCGAGTGTGGGGAGAGGGCTGGGGGCTCGGGGTCGGGGAGAGGGCGGGAGGCGCGGCTGCGCTCCCCGCGGGGAGTCGGGGCTCCACCCTCCCGCGCTAGGAAGCCGAGCCCGGCCGCCGCCCGCTGCGCAGACTTGGCTGCGGAGCTCCGGGGAGTCCTCGCCCCAGGATTTCCCGCGACCCTCTGTTCCCGGTCAGAGATTAAACTTGTCTTTCTGGCCTGGCCCCACCCCTTGCCAGTGGTGAAGTTGGTAACCCAAGTTCTCCAGTTCTGACAGGCTGCGTGCGCTCGAGGCTCTGGGAGGCCGTGCAGGCTTCGGCATTAGGGTCTACGGGACGGAGTTCTAGCGCTGACTTTGCTGCGTGACCTTGCTGGAGTCACGGACCTCCGCGAAGAAGGTTCGACGCCTGCCTTTCCGGCCGTGCGGACGAGTTGCGCGGCTGCAGAGTGCCCGGCGCGGGCAGGCCAAGGGCGTGCTAATTAGCCTGCGGGCGGCTGTCTTCCTGCCCGGGGCTCTGGGCAGAGGAAGGGAAGCCACTGAAAGGAAGGCGAGTGGAGGGGTGGAGCAGGGGGAGGAGGAGGAGGAGAGGAACGAGGAGTGGCAGGGCGGAGTCCGGGATCCTCCCAGCCGCCGAGCTCTGGGGAGCGGAGAGCGGGCACCCAGCCTCTGCCGCCCTCCTGTGGGCGCCTCGCCCTGCGGAGTCCCTGCCCCGCAGGGATTCCGAGCGCGGGAAGCGTGCGCTGCTGCGCGCCCCAGCCCCGCCCAGCCTTAGGGAAGGCGGAATCCAGCCGCGCCCCGCGTTTGGACCCAGGGCCTGAACAGATCGCAGCGGAGCCTCTGCTCCCGGCTCTGCTATTCATTCACCAAATGCCGAGCATATATTTCGTGCAGGTCGCAGAGCTGGAGGCCGGCTGGGGCGGGGAACCGCAGCTTGGGGCTGCCGCGCGCTCGCAGGTGCGTGCCAAGCTTTGGGGTTTGCATTTGATCCTTAAGGCCCGTCGCTCCTCCCCGCCACGCCGTGGCCGTTCCTCCTCTCCCGTTTTACAGATGGGGAGACGGATCCCATAGGACGAATTACGCAAGGGGGCACAGACGCAAGCCAAGCCTCTGGACGCCGGGACGCCCAACTATTTCCAACCTCAGTATTTCACACGACTGGTTAAAGGTCTAACTTGTGGGTGATGTTTGTCAAGAACAAGCGCACAGCTTTTAATCCCAGTTCATTGGGCTGCGGTGAGTCTCCGCTGACGGTAGTCAGGCCGGAGAAAATGCTGTTAGAAAAATGGAGAAAACTCGGCCGGCGCCGCGGCTCACTAGGCTAATCCTCCGCCTGCGGCACCGACACCCCGGGTTCTTGTCCCGGTCGCTCCTCTCCCAGTCCAGCTCTCTGCTATGGCCCAGAAGTGCTCTGAAGGATGGCCCAGGTTCTTGGGCCTTGCACCCGCATGGGAGACCAGGCTTCAGGTTGGCGCGCGCTGGCCATAGCAGCTATTTGGGGGTGAACCAACGGAAGGAAGACCTTTCTCTCTGTCTCTCTCACTGTCTAACTCTGCCTGTCAAAAAAAAAAAAAAAAAAAAAAGAAAAAAAAAAAGAAAATGGAGAAAACTCAGATGGCTCATCTACTTTACCACACTTCACAGCTGAGCAAGTCTACCTGTGGCCCAAGTAGTTACGGCAAAACCTAAATCTGTGGCCTGATTGAGAGCCACTGGTGCACGGCCTCTCCAAGCCTCGGTTTTCTCATCCATGGAATGGGGGTGATAAGCAGACCTCTCAGAATTGACTGAGACAAGGGTTGGCCCCCTGGCAGGGGTTTTGATGGTCCCTGGTGATATCCTCAGGGCTGGGTGTACATGCCTGTTCAAGGCGACCAGCCCCAGCGAGCAGAGGAAGCTGGTGGTGTTCCGAGGCCGGCCCCCACCCTGGCTCCCCGCCTCAGTTTCCCCTGCTCCTCCCACGCATCTTCCCAGTTCCCAGTGAAAGCTTTAATGACATAAACATTGAGCTATAAACAAGACATCGATCCCCTGGCTATGCGGTGTAAAATATTAACGATGCCTAAGTGGATGCCAGGCCTGAGAGCAGAACGTCCAATTGGTATTAGCAGCCTGGGCCGTGGGCCTAATGCATGGGAAGCTGACTCCCTGCTTGCTCACCAGCCTGGGACCTGTTAGCTCTGGGGCCTGTCCAGGTCCACTGAGGCTGGGCTGTTGGCCCTGCCACACTCCCTTCCTTGGGACCTGGACGAGGAAGCCAGCACACAAGCCCCCAGGCTCTACTTCTCTATAAAGTGCCAGACCAGCCCCCTCTGGCTCCCCTCCCTGACAACCCCCATGCTGCTGGCCCTTGGTGCCTAGGGGGAAGGGACAGGCCTGGGGGTGGGGCACATACAGAGTACTTCAAAAAGTGCATGGAGGGAGACCAGGAAAAGCACCTGGCTCCTGGCTCCTGCCATCGGATCAGCGCGGTGCGCCGGCCGCAGCGCGCTGGCCGCGGCGGCCATTGGAGGGTGAACCAACGGCAAAAAGGAAGACCTTTCTCTCTGTCTCTCTCTCTCACTGTCCACTCTGCCTGTCAAAAAAAAAAAAAAAAAAGTGCATGGAAAGTGGAATTTTAAAGTGAGTTTATTTTGGTTTGATTATAATTGAAATCTGTGCATTTAGGGTAGTCTTCAAAAAGTTCATGGAAAATGCATATGATATAAAAAGTACCCATGGATTTCAATACTTTTTGCACCACAACAAATGTATCTTTTAGTTTCATTTTTTTTTTGGGGGGGGGAGGCAACGCGGCACAGCAGGGTTGAGCTTGTGATGTTGGCACTGTTTTGAGTCCCAGCGGCTCCGCTTCGGATACAGCTCCCTGCTAATGCACCTGGGAAAGCAGCGGCCCACCTGGGAAGACCTCAGCATGTCTGGGAAGCTCATCGGTGCCCCATCTGTCCCCATCTAGTTTAGAAAGTATTCTGGGGCAGTGGGTTAAAACCCCAGCCTGCAGTGCCAGCATCCCCTATGGGTGCCAGTTTGAGTCCCGGCTGTTCCACTTCTGATCCATTTCCCTGCTCATGCACTTGGGAAAGCAATGGAGGATGGCCCAAGTCCTTGGGCCCCTGCACCCACGTGGGAGACCCAGAAGAAGCTCCTTGCTCCTGGCTTCAGATCAGGTCGGCTCCAGCTTTTGCAGCCATTTGGGGAGTGAACCAGCGGATGACAGACCTTTCTGTCTCTACCTCTGCCTATAACTCTGTCTTTCAAATAAATAAAATCTTTAAAAAAAATGTATTCCGAGGAAACAGCTTGGAGGTGGGGGTACCCCTTAGGTCATGGACCTTGCTTGTCTGGAATATTGAAGCTGCCTCCAGGAAGTCAACCCAGATGCCACCAGCCCTGCTCACCCACCTCCTCTGAACCCCCAGGGCCCCTGCCACCTGCCTTTTGGTGACTGTCCTGTCTTCTCCAATGTGGCCCTTGCCCTTCTCATCACAGCTACACTGTCAGTTCCCAGGGCCTGGGACCCTGTGGCTTTGACCAATATTCTAACACTCGATCTTAGTGAAAAGGCCAAGAAGTGATATTTGACCAATATTCTTTGTATACCCGCCCCGTGCCCCACCGAGTCTCCTGCTCCTGTGCCCCGACCCCTACCCCAGCACTGCACAAGGTCTTCTGGCTCCTGAGTGGGGGGAGGCTCAGGCGGGACACAGGCTGGTGGAGGAAGCTGATGGTGCAGCCCCATCTCTCCTGGGGGAGGGGGGTGGGGAGAGCAGGCCTCCTTTTGTTCTAGTGTGTTCTGCCAGGAAAAGCAGACATGAGAGTGCCCAGGAGTGGGACTCCACATTCCAAAGAAATGCCTGCTAAGCTGACCTCCATGCTCCCCCAGACCTGGCCATCCTCCAGGCTCCTGGTCTCAGCTGCCCAAGCTACATCCTGGGCCCTCACTCTAGAATCCACCTGTCCATACCACGCCAAGCTCCCGTGTGATGCTCCCCCGTCGCCGGCTCTACCGTCGCGGGCCACCCGCACCAGCGTCCCTCTCCCCTGGCATCGATCCCACCTCGCATCGCCACCTTCACGGTCCTTCAAGGAAGGACCTTTCAAGGAAGATCAGGCCCCGTGTAAAGCCTCCCACAGTGGTTGGTGAGGGACCTCACGGTTTAGACACCTGCGTCCCACATAGGACTGTCTGGGTTCCATCCCCGGCTCTAGCTCCTGACTTGGCCTTCCCGCCAGTGGAGGCCCTGGGAGGCAGTGGTGATGGCTGCAGTGGCTGGGTTCCGGCCACCTGTCTAGGACTAAGGCCACCTGCCACCATGTGGGAACAGTGAGCCTGAGACTTCGGTCAGCTTAGGAGAAAACAGCAGAAGTAGAAAGACTGAGTTAGCAGTGCTGAGCTCCTGGATTCCGCTGCGCCTGATGCCATATGCGAGTCTCCATCTCTCAGTTATTTCTGCCAGCAAATCCCCCTTTGTTGCTTAAGCCGTGTGAGCTGAGTTGCCATCCCTTGCAACCAAGAGGCTCCTCATTAATGTGTTGCCTGCTTAGCCCTTGCTGCAGATCCAGCATTGCCACACGATTCGTTCATTCATTCCCCACAGCTCCCAGTCAGATCGGGACTCTGGGAAAGGTAGAAGTTACAAGTTAAAGCGCGAGTGCTCATGCCTTGCTTTAAGAGCACACGGCTGATGAACCAGAGTCAGAATTCGCACCCAGTACTCCAGCCCCAGGGCCTGTGAGTCCAATTCAACACTGCCCTGCACCTCTAGACCTGTGTGTTCTGCCCCTCCCTCTGCCTTACTCACAGTGCCCTGGTCTCCCTTGCAACTGCCTGGACGAAGCAGTATTGCCTCACCTCGGGGCCTCTGCAGGTGCTGTCCCCGGAGCCGCACACACTCCTCCTCCCCCCACCCCCGGCCTCCTCCTCCCCCTCCTCCTCCTCCACACAGCTTTGGGCCTCAGCT